TAATAATAATAGTAATAATAACCACGGTAGATGACTTTCATTAAATCAATTTTTCTCCGCTAGATGGACATGGTGTACGATGCCGGATTTAGATACGACGCCACGTGGTCTACGTCTCAGAACGATCCGCCGATCTTCCCGTTCACACTGGACATGAAGCAATCGATCGATTGCAACATTCCTCCGTGCCCCGTCAAAACTCACCCCGGTAGGTAGCGCCACCCGCACGAGGCAAAGACAGTCCGTGTCAATATACTAACAGTATATACTATATAGTATACTCAGTAGGTTGGTAAAGACAGTACTTGTCAGTGATCGCCCTTATTGGCGTGGACACGTTATACCCACTGTTCTGTAAGCGCCCATGACAACTAAATTGTAGATATATCATCTTTAGATATAAATAGTGTTGTTATTATATTATTATGCTACATTATCTTTAGATTTATTTATTTTGAATGTGCTTCTATTGTACGCGCAAGAGCTCACTGTTTTTAAAATCAGTATAACATACGGGACGAAGGCAGACTCTAATTTCTCGGCTCGTCATTGGTTATTCCACGTCACGTGTTCGCAGGCATCTGGGAATTGCCGATGGTGAACTGGATCGATACCAACGATACCCTGTGTAACAACGTCGACGCCTGCTACTACCCTGAGACGAAGGAGGAAGCGCTCAGCCTGCTGCGCAACAACTTTGCTCGTCACTACAACTCCAACAAGGCTCCCATGCAGATCAACCTTCGTCCAGGGTATGTACGCAGACACCGAGTAGACTGATCACACATTCGCTGCAGGAATTCACCGTTGCAGTGTGTTGCTTATATGACATCATACTATAAAATGCCTCACCTTTATCACGGTTAGCTTACATTCTTTCGTCGTTTTATAATTATTCCCGTAATAACGCAATCAACTGCATAATCTACTATTCAATTAAACTCTCTCTCTCTCTCTCTCTCCCCTGTCCGCTAGATTCTTCTACAAGGCCGGATACGTGCTGGAAGCCGTACAGGAATTCCTCGACGAACTTGGAGCGATGAGCGACGTCTATCTTGTCACCATGTCCGATATTGTCGACTGGATGGAGAACCCGACAACGACGGTTGGCGCCTTCGACCTGTTCACGTGCGACTACGACGACCGCGCTGAGCTGTGCGACGACATCAACCTATGCTACTACGCCAACATCACGTACCTGCCAAACTCCGACGAGCATCCCGGCGATCGGCTGCTGCACACGTGCGCCGACTGTCCCGAGGCCTACCCGTGGAGCGAGAACCCCGTCGGTCTGGCGGCCCTCTCCGAAGCCGACGCAATTCGCTTCGGCAAGGAACTGCCGGGCGGCCGCCCTGACGCACTCACGCCGACCGTTACTGACGCCACGACGGAGGCCACGACGGAAACGGGCACGCCTGCGCTAACTGAGGTCACGGGAGTCACAACGGAGGCTCCAGGAACAACTGAGGCCGCAGGAACAACTGAGGCTGCAGGAACAACTGAGACTGCAGGAACAACTGAAACTGCAGGAACAACGGAGGCAGTAGTAACAACTGAGGGCACAGGAACAACTGAGGCTGCAGGAACAACGGAGGCTGCAGGAACAACTGAAACTGCAGGAACAACGGAGGCAGTAGTAACAACTGAGGGCACAGGAACAACTGATGGCCTGCCAGGAAACGGAGTGCGGCAGGCATCAACTGAAACTGGCAGGAAACAACCGGGCGGCAGTAGTAACAACTGAGGCACAGAAAACTGGGACTGCAGAACAACTGTAAAGCACCAGGAACACGGAGGCTGGCAGGAACAACTGAGGCCGCAGAGATACAACTTGAGGCTGCAGGAACACGGAGGCCTGCCAGGAACAACGGAGGCTGCAGACACAACGGAGGTTGGCAGGAACAACGAGGCTGCAGGAACACTGAGACTGCAGTAACAACTGAGGGCTGGCGCGAACCAAGCTGAAGGCCTGCAGGACAACTGAGGCCCCAGGAACCATACGATCGCTGCAGAACAAACCTGAGGCTGCGAGGAACAACGGAGGCTGCAGAACAACTGAGGCTGCAGAACAACGAGGCTGCAGGAACAACTGAGCTGGCAGTAACATCTGAGGCTGCAGGAATCAGACTGAGGCCCAGGAACAACTGAGGCTGCAGGCAACAACGAGCTGCAGGAAAGACTGAGGCTCCAGGAAGCACGGGAGGCTGCAGCGAACCAACGAAGCTGGCAGGAAACAACTGAGGCCCAGAACAACTGAGGCTCAGGAACAAACGGAGGCTGGCAGGAACAACCAGAGGCTTGCCAGGAACCAGACGGAGCTGCAGGAAACAACTGAGGCCGCCAGAACAACTGGAGGCTGCAGTAAGGCACGGAGGGCTGGCCAGAACGAACCTGAGGCTGGCACCGAGGAACAACTGAGGCCCAGGAACACTGAGGCTGCGGAGGAACAAACGAGGCTGCAGGAAGCAACTGAGCCCGCAGGAACACTGAGGCCTGCAGGAAGCAATCTAGGCCCCCCCCAGGAACAACCTGAGGCTGCAGGAACAACTGAGCTGCGCGAGAACGAGGCTGCAGGAACAACTGCGGCTGGCAGGAACAACGGAGGCTGCAGGACAACTGAAGACCCCAGGAACAACTGAGCTGTAGTAACATATCTGACGCCACAGGACCAACGAGGTAAGGAGTAGTAACAACTGAGGCCCCAGGAACAACTGGTGCTGTAGTAACAACTGAGGCCCCAGGAACAACTGGTGCTGTAGTAACAACTGAGGCCCCAGTACCAACCGAGACTCCAGGAACAACTGAGGCTACAGCAACACCAACAGTTCCCTAAGTTATTTCTTTAAGATTGATGTGATAGATTGAGATGAGAGAGTGATTGATTGATTGATTGATTGATGAGCCGTCCGTATTAAGTGGCGGTGGGCTGGAGCACGTGCTACATCGTAACCTTCTCCCAGAATGCATCACGATTTCGTATACATCCGGCGATCACACTCTAATAGACGCGACGACCTCTAGCGGTCATCTGCGAACATCGATACATGCCTGACGTCATCGCTAGAATGTGAACAGATAGGCAGACGCGCATGCGGCCGAAGCAGGCATGCAGTCCCTATCGATAGCCGATCGAGAGATGACGTGGCATTATCGATGCATAATATAGAGAAGCGGAATTCCGGATCTAGTTTGTTCGTGTGGCATTCGTGGCATCCGTCGATGCGCCCGTATAGATTTGGCGAACAATGTTGCAGCTAACGCGTTCTCGAGTGACGTTTAACGGTACGTGGTAATAGGGGGGTCAGTAACCCGCGGCCTGTAGGGTGCAGAAGCTTAGGATACCTAACAAAGGACCTTCAAAGAAAGTAGTTGTTTCTCTTGGGATTAATTCAGATGAGTATGTCGTGTGGTGTGCTTCTGAGTATGTGGGTCTTCAACAGTGCTAATGCAAATTAACAGGGAAATTTGTCGCATATTTATCAGGACCCGGTTCCACAGACGTGGATTAATTTTATCCCTGAGTTAAGAGTTTAATCTGGGTTCATACCAGAGTTAAATTTTTACTCAGAGTTAGGCATATTTAACTCAGAGTTAAAGTTAATCCACGACTGTGGAACCGGGTCCAGGAGACTTCAGACTGCGGCTAATCCACTAAGTTATGTATAGTGTCGTCATTGGCGCATTTCGGTGAGTTTCGGGGCGCTTTCTAAAGTAATTGACAGGTCAAGTCAACTCATAAGCACTTCTAAGTGCAACTTTGTACTGTTAGTGTGTTTTAGTGTTAGAGTGATATAAGTGGTATATTAGCCAGGGTAACCTGAAAAGTGTACTTTCCAATGGTGACTTACGTATTTTCTCCATGTTTATTCATTAGGTATCTGTCGCAGTAAGCAATAGACACTTCCCAGGGCATACCACATGTGCATGCTAGGGCGATTCAAGGGGTGCTTTCTAGGGTAATACACAAAATCTTATTTCAGGGCAGTTAGCAAGGTACTTACCGGGGCAACTTACATGGGAATTTTGCATCAAATGGAGGATTTCGTCCCGATTCTTTGGGTGGCAGACAGTAAACTCTATTTCAGCTTTCGGACCTTTTCCTTGCGCGTATTCCCAACCATTGCAAGCACATATGCGCTGTATTTTTCTTCCCTCTTTGTGCTCGCTTCATGATGTCCCTATTATATTCACCCACCCTCCAACCAGCACGTGGGCGGAATCTCCTTGCATCTTGGAGTTTAATCTAGGGTGACGAAAAAAAGCTGGAGCATTTCGAAAAGTAGTTTTATTACTTGGAATTCTTTTCGTCTATTTGCTATATATTTCTAACAGCAATGCTCGGAGGAAAGTAAAGGAATGCTATTTTAATGATTAGCTTTATTTCGCTCTCGTAGTTTGCCTCCGTTGGCCGCTTTCTCTCCGCTTCTCCCTCACTCTCTCGCTCTCTCTTTCTCTTTCGCTCTCTTCCTCCTCTCTTTCTCCCCCCCTCTCTCTAACTCTCTTTCTCTTTCGCTCTCTTCCTCCTCTCTTTCTCCCTCTCTCTAGCTCGGCCGCACAATTTCGCTCAATATATATACCATCTAGCGAAAGAATTGCATTCAGTTTGGCGCGTTGCCAGCTTTCGCGTCGGCCCCTTGTATAGAGTTTCACAGGTTAAGTGATAGTAGAGTAGACTGGTTTAACGTTGGACGCATGAATTTCTTGCTAGATGTCCTAACGACAGTTCAAGTATGTAACACCATTCGCATTGCGGCTGTGCTTTTCCCTCTCCCTGTGGTTATAGTACTAAGCCTTTATTAATTTCATTTCCTCTCACATAGAGATTTCCTACGGGGTCTTTTCTTTTCGCATTTCTAATGCGAGTGTTCGCGCTCGACTATTTAACTATTCTTTACGTTTTATTCAATTATTTTTTTCATTCATGAAAATTTATTTGTTTTTCTTTGTTTTGATTTCACTTATCGTCAAAATAGCTGCGTGTCGAGCCGAACCTTATAGCATAATTTTATTATAGCATTGTCCCGGTCATGTCGGCTAACTATGCTGTGGCATTTCGCCTGCCCTTCAACCAGCCTGATATGTTGTCAATGCTATATATTATCTATTCGGTTACTCGCTCGCCGAATCTATCCTCGATGGTGGGATGGGGTGAGGGGTAAAAGTGCTGCTTAATGGGAATTATCAACTAACCCAACTATAATAGCGGAAATAGTAGAACCACGACTGGGTAAATGTTGCTGTGACGTGTTAACGCGTAAAACATTTTTAATTTCTAACCATGTGGCGTGCGAAGGTCGGTGTTGTACGCGAATGTATACGAAATTGACATCAATGGTTTGTAGATTTTTTAATAATTATTTCTGTTTTAGTATCGACGATGTTAGACCGTATATTAAGTGCGCGTATATCTACAATCATGAGTAATGCGTTTTATGGATGTGTGCGTGCGTGATTGTGTGCGCGCGTGCGTGCGTGCGTGTATGTGTGTGCGTGCGGAAGACAGAGGAAGCACGCGCAAGCGAGCTAGTATGTATGTGTGTGTGTGTGTGTGTGTGTGTGTGTGTGTGTGTGGTGTGTGTGTGTGTGCGTGTGTGTGTGAGAGAGAGAGATAAAGAGCATGTGAGCGAGCGGAAAAGGGTGTGTGCCATTTAACCCCCCCCCCCTCCATAACCAAAGTTACATGACAACGTTTATTATCGTAATGAATGATTATTAGTTTGCACTAAATTATGATAACAGCACAACACGCGTTTCATAATATATTGTAATTAACTAATGCAATCATTGATTTACTTATTGTAAATAGCAAATATGTAGACTAAGTCGCAGTATATGTATTACTGCACCAACATGCGTCACACACACTGTGCTGTAAGTAATCTACAATGAGCGGCGTGTACCATGTGGAATACATATTTTGCTATTGATTAGGAGTATGCTATTTAGAAAAAGTGTTTCGATATGTATTTAAGTATCGATCATTTTCGCTGCGATGTCAAATTCTTACAAAAGTGTACATAAAATAAAGTTTTATATTTCGTAAGGAAATTGGCTTGTTTTGTTCATGTTCGTTGTGTTTCAGCCTCAAGCATACAGAACTATTAGTTAGAATAGCGAATCATCCAGGTTTTTACCAGGTCTCTTCGCATGCCCAGTGATTTATCGAAAGAAATCGCATGTTGAGGAAATAATTGTACTTTTACAGAAGAGAACTTATACTTACGTGACAAATATCTATTAAATGTGATATCTCGGTTTAGGAATTTATTCGGCGTAGGACACTCGCGGCAGTTTCAACCTGGATGAAGTTTCTCTACTGTAAATTGACAGTGCATCAATGATCCTCTCGTCTGCTTAGCAGATAACGCGTATGGAATTATGACATATTAGGCTGGACAAAAATTCTATATAACTTGTTGCCATCTGTCCTCATGAATAATTCTGCATTCATGCATTTACAGTATCTGGCGAAATGGTCTGAATTCGTTGAAATTATACCTCAACGAATAGAAAGCGTATACCCGCGAGTATTTTGACATGATAAATATCTATTGCAGTGTCTCACTTTCTAACTACAAGGAGTTTTATATGACATTGAATTGTAATGGCCATGCAGCAGACGCCGATATATAGAGCCGTATGTATAGTGTGTGAATGTCAAATATCGGTGAAAAAGTTGTCCATCGTTATGCTCAAGATATATTTTACAGTGAAAGTTTTGCACGAATGCACGTACGCACGCGCTTTATATTTACTAAGGTAATAGTATATAACACACGTATCATCTATATTTGAATCATTTGTTTTTGGTCAGCCGCGATCATGCCCTATCGTGTTCTAGTTGAAATCGCGTGACATCAGTGTTATTTGTCATCTGCTACACGTAAACTTTTGCAGAGCACGTATCGTGGCACAAGCGTCCGTTGTTACCATGACGACGGCGCTTTCGCATAAACCGAAACAAACTCTATTGTAGACACAGTTTCCATTTAGTATCTTATATTAATGATACTTGCAAAGGAGTACAGAGAGCAACCCAATACAGTGCAACATACTATATAGAATTAAAAAATGACGCCACTGTTTATAATGTGTATATATATATATATATATATATATATACATATATATGTTCAATCCATTACCGCCTCCGTACACGGGTGACGTGCTCGATGTATACTATGGCACTCAGATTTGCCTGCTGAGGCGAATATATTCTGTGCCAGGCCCGGGATGAATCGATTCGCATCACGAAGTGACGTTCGCGTATGGGGCAGTATTGTCGGTCGCGAGGTCACGTGCGCGTATCGAGCAGTATCGTCGGTCGCGAGGTCACGTGCGCGTATCGGGCAGTATCTTCGGTCGCGAAGTCACGTGCGCGTATCGGGCAATATCGTCGGTCGCGTGGTATGGTGCGCGATCGTTTCAACTATAGAGAAATTTTTGACGCGATGCAAACGAACAAAGTGCCAGAATTGCTTCTTTGGTCGAGCGTAACCCTAGCAACAGTGTGGCTGTATCAAAAGACTGAAATATGAACAGATGGCATGTATTCCGGATGATTTACAAAATAAGGTTGGATGCTTGGCGCCAGCACGTTACGCAAACATTTACAATGCAACGTTATACTGTACTCAGTCGCAATGAAACACGACATAAACAGACCATTATTACCTAATGTACTTCAGTCATACGCCAGATATGTTAACGAGGATATGTATAACCTATAGCAGCCTACATATAGTGCCGGTATGTAGTCTACATCAGTAGTTTATATATATATATATATATACACGAGCGTGTGTTAAAAACCTATTTAGAAACAACTACGTGTACATATGACACATCTACCCACACACGGACGTACGCACCCATTGAAATAAACAAACATATGCACGGGCGCGCACACACGCTTATACACACCATACATAGGAATGCCCTCACACACACACACACACACACACACACACACACACACACACACACACACACACACACACACACACACACACAGCAGCACACACACACACACACACACACACACACACACACACACACACACACACACACACACACACACACACTCACGAGTTTGCTATTATACATTGTTAAATTTATTATACGAACTAAGGCATGATCTTTACCGCTCGAGAATACGAGGCTAAACATGTCACGTTTTCACATACCTTAGGCAAAAAATGCTAAAGCTCAAGACAAAAGATATCTCACGTGGAGGTCAAAAGCAAAGATCAATGCAATGGTCAACGCAAAGCTCGAAGCGAAGGCTGCACAAAAAAGTTTTTTGGGTCTTCTGCTCCACGTATATTGGCTTATCAGTCCTCCCGAAGAGCAGCCAAAAGGAAACCGAAGAAGACAAGCGAATATGGTAGGTTGAATGTTTCTACCATCATCGCAACCATGAGGACATTCGTGCGTTTCATCACATGATTTTTTTATTTCTCTTTCTCGTGCTCGCTATTACTCTCTCTCTCTCTCTCTCTCTCTCTCTCTCTCTCTCTCTCTCTCTCTCTCTCGTCTCTCTCTCGTTCTCTCTCTCTCTCTCTCTCTCTCTCTCCTCTCTCTCCTCTCTCGCTTCTCCTCTTCTCTCTGTCTCTCTCTCTCTCTCTCTCTCTGTCTCTTCTCTCTCTCTCTCTCTCCTCTCTTCTGTCTGTCTCTCTCTCTCTCTCTCTCTCTCTCTCTCTCGCTCTCTCCTCTGCTCCTCTCTCTCCTTCTCCTCTCTCTCTCTCTCTCTCCTCTCTCCTCTCTCTCCTCCTCTTCTCTTCGGCGTTCCTCTTCTCTCCACTCTCATCGTCTCTCTCTCTCTCTCTCTCTCTCTCTGGCTACACACACAGCGACTGTCGCGCACACACACGCAGCGCCACACAGAACACTTGCACTAGGGTACGTGGAAGTTGGTATCAACGCTGAAGCTCGTTGCATCGCGCAGAACAAACGACAGCCGGTCCAGGGCCGCACACATCAAACACAGCACATTCACACATGAGCCCCGCGGTACATCACACAGGTAAAATCACCACAGCAAGCGACAGCACAAATCGGGCACAGACAGCACACACCACACACCACACGCCACGGCACTGGGCCGCGCACTGGCACGCACGCCATAACAAAACAGCACGCGACGTGCAGACACGGTCGGACTCGAAACTCACGCACACACACACTCACGCACACACGCTTTTCACGAGGTGTGGGTCATAAACTATACGTGTGCCGTCGGCAATAAACTTAACGGCAATTTACTGTAAAAAGAAAAAAAACGCCACAAAACTACAACTAAGATAATAACACTAACGCTAACTATTCACTGTCTCACTACGCTGTTTCTGGAGAGTCTCTCTCTCTTTCTTTATTTTACTCCCTCTCTCTCTCTCTCTCTTTCTTTTCTAACGAGGGATGCCACTACGCGCACGCTCACCTCCCGCTGGTTCATAACGTTAATCTCAAGATGAACTAAGGCGAATGCAAGTACTCTCTCCAGACGATAAAATTTCACGCGTGCCAAACGACACAGCGATAGCTAAATCGCTCGCTGCCTGTTCCGCCGCGCTGCTATGGCGCTGCTATCGCGCTCGGACAAAACAAAAGTACAGGAAAAAAATTAAAAGCTCTTGACAAACACACAACGACGTAGCGCATTTCGTATCAAAACGAATATACGGGGGTTCTTGTATTCTATATCGGTTGTGTTTTGGTGTGTGCGCGCGCGTGTTTATATAAACTTGGATTCATCGCCTCACGAATGGCGCGATTTGTCCGTGAATACATTAAACTCAGTCTCCATTTACAAAACGACACATTTGAGGCGGTCGTGAGACTGTGAATTAAACAATAGCGGTAGCGCTTGTCTATGTTTACCCTTACGCGCTAGGCGGAAGTATTAAATGTTCACATTATATATGTTTATAATTACAAATGCAAAAAAATCGATGAGTTCATTGGGGTGGAGTACGTCGTTCCACAAGATGGGATTATCGTACGTTTACAGTCCAACAGAGTTGATATAAACAGATCTACATGTACAAATAAAACGTTCTTTTAGCGTAAAACGCACACATTTACACGCACACACACACACACACACGCACGCACACACACACACACACACACACACACACACACACACACACACACACACACACACACACACACACACACACACACACACGACACACACACACACACACACACACACACACACACACACACACACACACACACACACACACACACACACACACACACACAGGTAGGAGTATGACGCATGTTAAATATCTGTACATGACATGCCTTTGGTGAGGATATTCATTAAAACGTCTAGATTTCGTTGAGACGGGTCGTGTGGTTTCCAATTTAATTTCGTATAATTAATATCAGATAAAGGTAGGAGGGATTTTCTCTGTAGTCGCACTTCCAAAATAGCTTAACAGAAAAGATAAGATAATACGTCTAATCTCAATTCGTTTAGTTATATATCATTCATCGCTATTTACGGTTTTGCAACAAAAATCCGTACTTTTTGCGCACACTAAAATAAACACATTAATAAAAACTGCGAAACACCGACGCGTTTCGAAACAGCGCGCCTCACAATGCCGCACGCGTGCAGACGATCATGCATGCGCTGCTGCTGCTGCTGCGACTCACTTGTCACAAAACTCCAACAACAAACGAACGGAAAACATTCGCTCGCGAACGAACTCGCGCGCTGGCCCTCAAAGTAGCGCAGGCCAGCGTAATGTGTTCATACCATAGAGATGTATAATGTTTATGTATACATCTCTGTGGTTCATACGCAAGTCTGCTCTACTTTCAAAATGGCGCCCGCCAGCGTTATGTGTTCATACGCACGTCTGCTCTACTTTCTCTCCGTTCTCGCTCGGTGCGCCATCGGCGGACGTATTGTTCGATCTGATTTTAATGTAAGGTAGTCCGACAATATCGTAGTCGCCCCTGTGCGCATCCACGAACTCTGGAGCTAAGTCTGGCGTGGTGAGATTTCTCCATCGCTGTATAAAATAAAAGCGGTGATTCGGTTAGACGGGGATGATGCCTCATGCTAACGACTCGATCGACAAGACGATAATCGATGTATCGATTATTGAACGTACGAGGCAAATTTTATAGAGTTTTGCATCTATATGCTACTATATAGATACTCACATCTACTACATATTCACACCTAACATCTCCCGCTGCCCCCTTCTCGTGCCGCTCCCCTCCTCATCCCCGCCCTCTCTTCTCTTGTCTCTCTACTCGTCCCCCCTCCCCTGCCCCCCCTCTCTCCTTCTCCTCTCTCTCTCATCCTCATCGCTTCTCTCCATCTCTCTCCTCTCTCTCCTCGTCTCATCGGCTTCTCTCTATCGTCTCTCTCTCTCTTGCTCTCCCTCTCTCACTTCCTGCGCTCGTCTCTCCTGCTCTCCTCTCTATCCTCTGATTTCTGACTCTCTCGTCTCTGC